TTTGGATTTGAATATGAGAAATTTGAGATAAGGCATTTGAGGACTTTAGATTTGAGGGATTTGATTTGAGTATGAGAAATTTGAGATTTGAGTATGAGAAATTTGGAAACGATATCCATGGCAGCGGAATGATTAAAGAATAAAAGAAAAAAGATGTGTTTAGGGTTTCAGGATAAGAGGATATGAGGATGTGGGTATGAAGATCTGAATCTGAACAAGGAATTTGATTTAGGATACGAGGATACGATACGAGGAAATTCGATACGAGGAATATGATTTGTGTTTCAAGAAAAATTCGATACGAGGATATGAGGAATACGATACGAGGAATACGATTTGTGTTTCAAGAAAATTTGATACGAGGATATGAGGAATACGATATGAGGAATGTGATTTTGGGTACGAGGAATACGATATGAGGAATGTAAAGAACACAGAAACCCTGTGAACACGGCTAAGAACACAGAAACCCTGTGAATTCGGTTAAAGGACACAGAAACCCTGTGAACACGGCTAAAGGACACAGAAACCCTGTGAACACGGCTAAGGACACAGAAACCCTGTGAACACGGCTAAAGGACACAGCTCTTCTCCCCCTGAAGAGAAGGGTATGTCGGAGTCAAGAAAGAGGCAAAATCTCCATGAGAAAGAGAAACAGATCCTTTTTCACTCCCCCTCCCCCCCTTGAAGAGGAGGGGAGGAGAAATTTTGATATGAGAATTTAGAGACAACCGAGGATTGATTGCTCTGATACCATGCTAAAATATGAATATGGGTTTGAATATGTTAGGTTCTTTTATTATTCTCCATAAGGAGGTATATATAAGAGTTTACATGAGTGCTTTACAAGGAATTAGATCCAGTAAAGAATTAGGAAAGTATCTCCTAATTATACAATGATTTGACAACTATATAAGATAGGAAAGTAAATCCCTTAATTAATCAAGGAAATAAATCTCCTTGATTAATTAGGAGACTCACTTCAACACCAACAACTTCTATTGTGTTTACTTTTCCTTATCTAGTCACTTAAGTCAATCTGCTTTATCATTAGATTTGCTTGCTGTAGGTAATTTGACTAGAAAATCAAAATACCACTTCTTAGCCTTTTTCTGGGTCAGATTTAGCTCTTTTCATTTTTCTTACGTTTATAAGTTCTGGAACAGGGGGAGGATTCGATATGGGAAAGTGGCCATACACAAGAGGAGCCTGCTGGAGTAGATCCCATTTTTGACAGAGGAGAAAATATAATGGTACATAATGAAGTGGAAGATCAATATTCCCTCTTTGTTGTATGCCTGTGATGTATTGCACTCTCATTGCTTTTACATATTGAAAAAATCCTATGTGAATAGTATTGAAAAGAATGTTGCTGGAACTGGGTTCTTGATAATTGTGAATGTTTTGTTAACAGTAATAGCAGTAAGTACAAGTGATTCATAACTACAAACCGTCTTGAGCTAGCTTGAATTTCTGCAGCAACTGTTTCATCATCATTGTTATTAGTATCAGTATTTGCCTTTATTTCTCTGTTCTCCTTTATTAGTATCATCCTTAGATTTAGGACCTCCTTCGGTAGTCTATCATAGAGGAACCTGAGACCATATCGTCACTGTCACAGCTGGTCTGGTACTTATCGTGGTGGGCGAGTACTTGTCACCACTGCCTTGAGCTTTAATTTCTAATGCAACTGTTTTATCATCGTTCTTATTAGTATCAGTATTTGCCTTCATTTCTGCGTTATCCTTTTCACCATTATCAACAACTTTACTTCTAGATGCCCATCAGCTTGTTTTCAACCTAAGTTCTCCAGAACCAGATTTCTTTCTGAGGCTATTTGCTCTTTTTAGCTGTCCAGCTACATTGGCTGTTTCATCGTCTAAATTTGGCATGTTGCACTGGAGGGTAGAAGCCCTTGGCTAGGAAGTCGATCTCTCTCCTAATCCATCACTGCTTTCTAAAATTCCTAAGAAGTTACTAGAATTTTATGCTGGGAAGTCGATCAGTCATGCCTGGCAGATCTCAACCTGTCTCTTCAATTCGAAGTTGTGGCTTTGAACCTCTTCAATTATTAGAGCCCTTTCTAATGCACTTCTCAATATCCTTTCTGCTTGAAGAAGAGCTGATGCGCTGCAATCTGAAGAAATGCGAAAATGGAATGTAGAACTCTTTCCAGTGTGATGAGTCTCCTCATGCTCATATATAATGCATGAATTGGTTTTATAGATGGAAATTCGTTTGCCTCATTCTTATGCATTTCAATAGGAGCGATGACAGACTGAATAGGAGGAGATTCATCGTCCTTTTGATTTGCATGTAGCGTTCTGAGAGTTGCTTCTGGAGCATATTGTGCAGCCAATGCATCTCTCTTGTCATATATTAGTTTCTTGATTTCAAGATACTGCATTTTCTGCATTTTAAGGAATTAACCGTAAAGAGTGGGATCGATGATGAGAGATGGACTTCCCTTTCCTTGCTCTGTGTGTGTGTGTGTGTGAGTGTGAAGCAAATTTTGAGAAACCATAAATCTTAGGCCGGCCAAACCGGCTTCTTCAGCTCCCCTACTTCTCTCCTAATTTTGACAGTAACGGTTACTTTGATTTTAAAACTATCTGCATAATCTATCTTTTGCTCTAAAACTAAATTTAAGGGATTTCTTTGTTTCAAACGTCATTATGATTGATTTGATTTCCAAAGTTGTCAAAACAACATTATCTCCTCAGGCAAGGCTGAGGTTGTCAAAATAAAATTATAAAGTCACTTTTTCCAACTGTTATGATTTCTGATTGATGGTGAGTGCAAATTCACATAGTCGTTTTTTTAATCCATTTGTTTTTCCTACTACGTACCTAATCTATGATTATAATTACATTTTGGACCGTTTAAGGATTATTGTTTCTAGATAGATAATATATCTACCACAAAAGAGCCAAACGTTTCACTTGTTTATTCTTTTGAAACATCAACAACGCCCAACACCAAGTCATTAACCACATAAATTAAATTAAATTAAATTAGAGAAGGAAAAACAGAGGGAGTATTCTATCTATCTATGTATGAGATTAACTGGGATTTTGTTGTTGCTGTTGTCATAAAGCATATCCTTGGTGACAGATGGCATAAGCCATCAAGTTATTGAGAATGTTCAGATGATCAGGTTTTTGAAAAATCATAATGCTAGAATGAAATCTGAAAAAAGAAACAAAAAATGGAATTGAGGCTCTTCAAAATTTGTCACCCACCGTTTAGAGGAGTTTATATTTCTTTTTCTTTTTGTTATCATCCATTTTGGCCGCTGCAGCTTCTTATCTCTAGCCGCTGCTTCTCTCTTCATTATCTCAGACTCTACTTCCATGGCTTTTGACAGTGCATCAACCTTTTTCATCAGCATCTGGAACATAGTCATATCATGCATTCAGTCCATTAATGGGGGGATATAGAGGGGGTTGGGGGTCGAACAGAGTGTCTGTCAATCTTACCTTTATTTCTTGATCTTTAGCATTCATATCACTCTCTTTGGCTTCGCAATGCCTCCTTAGATTTAGGACCTCCTTCTGAAGTCTATCATAGAGAAACCCTGAGACCATATCTTCATTGTCACAGCTGGTACTTATCTTGTTGGGCGAGTCCTCGTTGCCACCGGCTTGAGCTTCAATTTCTGCGGCAACCATTCTATCATCATTCTTATTAGTATCATTATTTGCCTTCATTTCTGTGTTCTCCTCTTCACCAATATCAACAACTTTACTTCTAGATGCCCATAAACTTTTTTTCAACATAAGTTCTCCAGAACCATATTTCTTTCTGAGGCTATTTGATCTTTTTAGCTGTCCAGCTGCATTGCCTACTTCGTTGTCTGAATTTGGCTGTTGCACTGGAGAGCTTCTAGCAATGGTAGAAGCTCTTGGCTGCGACGTCGATCTCTTCCCTAATCCACCATTGCTTTTCAGAAACCCTAAAAAGTTACTAGATTTTTCTGCTTTTGGGGAACCGCATAAATGAGGATTGAAGCTTGAAACATGCTTTAGCCCTTCTTCTAGTGTCTTCAGCCTCAACTTCAACTTTTCCTGATTGAAAAAATTAGTTAAGAAGATTACTCAGTTGAATAAAAAGCAAAGGATTCGGATGGAGTGACAGGAAGATTGCAAGTATTATGTATTCACCTTGAGTTGTGCTTCAGCCTTAGCTGTTCTATCTGAAACTCTCAACCTTTGCATGTCTGCCTGCATATGCAAAAGAATAATGTCCAGCCTTAGCTGTTTAATAAGTTGAAGTAAAGAATTGTTGAAAAATCTAAAATTGGAAAGGAATTTGAGAATTTTTATTAAAATTGAATAATAAATAGAATCATGATTTAAAGGTCATAATCCATTAAATATAGTCTAAAAAATATATCGATTATTGAATTCGTTACAATTGAGTGATTTAGTCCGTTATAAATATTAGAAAGGGCGGAAATACCATTTTTGCAAACATAAATAGGTACAATTTTCACCAAAAAGTATATATCTTTATTGGCGAGAAAGGATTTTTCTTTGACAAAAGTTTTTCTATTTTAGAGTTAAATTTAAATATAGTTCAAATCATATGTACATACCTATACAAAATAATATAAATGACTCATTCTTTACTCAGTTTTTGGGCTATAATCATTATGTAGAAGAGATGACCGAGTAGTTCAAGCTTCAAGGTGTAGTATTGGTGCTGCGTAGAGGTGCTATGTGGACTTTTTGTTTATGAATCCCTTTCTTTCCATACTCGTCATCTAAGAGAATCTCCAGAAGAGTCTCCAAATTTTAGCTAAATTCTAGCTAAAATAGCTAGAAAGCAATTATAGCAAACTAATTATAAGGTGTTTTCTTCATCAATGTTCTCTATTTTGGCTAATCTGAAATATTTTATTATTATGTTCTCTTTCTCTTGCAAATCAATTATATTAAAAAGAAAAGTAGAAACCCAACCTCACCAACCTTCCAAATGTCTCTATCTCTCTCTCCCTCTTTTTCTCTCTCCTCCTTGTTAGATGTAGAGAGCCAAAAGTTGGTTCTCCAAAATAGAGAGCCAAGTAGGGAGTCTGCTGGAAGGAGGATTTTCTTTCTTTTCAGCCAAAGTAGCTAGGATGAGAGGATAGAGAGTCTGCTGGAGATGCTCTAAGTCACCAATGCTATTGACTGCAATACATAAGAATGAATACTTCGATAGTTAGACCACCAAACAAATTTCATCTTTTATGTTCTTTGCAAATAGAAATTGAAAACTAAAAATTGAAATCGTTATCTTTTTTTGACACAATATGTTTATAATGTGTTTCATTTAAATTTTAAATAAATAAATAAATAAAACAAAAGGCAATCAACTTAGCCAACCTATTTGTTTATATAATCTTTTCATGAAACCCATAACCACAAAGGAGAAAAACAAAGATGCCATTCCTTTCCTTAGTACTAATCATCATTCCATGTGAAAAGTAGCTACATACTTGAAAAGGGACAAAGTAACCGACCTACCAAAGAAATGAACAAGGAATCTATCTATGTCAAAATAATGGTTTTGAGAGATACAACCATATGGTTCATATTTCTCAACAAGAACCTAAAGAAAGCAGATACAACCATAATCTCTCTCTCTCTCTCTCTCTCTCTCTAGAGTTGAGAGTTGTGATTGTAAGTGAGAAGAAAGCAAGCCATGGCCATAGATGATATCTCACCACAGCTTTTCAAGTACAGATATCATTTTGGCATAGCAATCTTCGTTTCATTAATATTTTCCTTGCTTCTGTATGCAGCCCCTCGGCTTCTATCCATTTTAGGTTACTTTTGGCCTCTCTTTGCCTCCACAACTCTGTTCTTGGTGGCAGTAATCGCCTTTGGTGGTGTTTCTCAGCTGTCAACAGAAACACACGGTGAAACACAAGGTCAAGGAATCATTGATTATGTTGCTGGAAAGCCAGACTACACAAACTAGTTTCTAAGTTTAAATTTGTGATAAGCAGCCACAGACAGACTGTTCTAGTATCCGTTGAGCAATGTGAATCCCTTCTGTATTCATACCAGTGCATGTATAACGGTATATAGAATGTATAATTAAATTTCAAAGGCAACTAAAATGTAAATTCAGGAAATAATACTTGCAAATTGCAAGGCAGTTGGGTTATACTTTTATTTATTTTCTCTACTTTTGTTGAAATATGTGTGTTAGGTTCACTTTGTCTATAATGAAACAAAAAAATAGATGAAACGTGTGATTTTTTAATTTTCCTTAAAATTACGAATTTGTCCTCGATCTAACGGAAATTTGGATGAAATCCTTCAGAATCTTACAGTAGGCCCTAAATTGGCTATTTAAAAAAAATGTGTGTCCTTAATTTACTGAAAATTGATTGGGGGGTAAATTGACAATAGTGAAATAGTTCAAGGGCAAAACTGCATAAAACCCTTTTTCTTAATTTTCGGTTACAATTATTTGGGAAAATTTTCAGAGATATGGAAAAGCAAAAAAAGAGAGGGCACTCAGACTCAGCTCAACTGTGGAGGAAGCTGAGAAGGAACAACGGTTTAAGCACACTTTCTCCTGTTCTTTCACTGGTACATAGATTTTTAGCTCGGTTCTAAGCTCTTTTTATGTTCCTGGGTTCGATTTTCTTTCTCCAATCCGTTAAACCCCTTGCAGCTTTGTGAAACCCATCAAGAAAATACAGAATGTGCCTCCACCAGGAAAAAACAGAAGGTGCCTTCACCAACAACAAGATTACTTGCTTTTAAACTAAATTGTGGTTTAACATAGATTGGCTCCCAATCTGCAGGACACTGAGAGATCCTGCTTCATTTTGTTCTAGGCAATTCTTAAATGATGGACATGGAGTGCTGCCATATTGGCGATTTCTTCTTCTCTGGAGGATGTTTGTTTCGTTATTGAGTTGAGCAGGATCTTTCTTTTCAGTAAGTAAGGCTTGTTTAACATCATCATCATGATCACTAGCCATCAGGGCATTACGTACATAAAGGTTCATCTGCTTGAGCAAGGACCTTTCTATATATGTCTTTTAACATTTTACGAATGAAATACTAGAGTGATGAAGAAATCAAACACAAGATACCTCTAAGTCTATATGTCCTTAATTTAAACCTTTTACGAAATAATCACTTAGCTAGAGTGAAGAGGAAATCAAACACAAGATACAAGTACAAACAGACCCTAAAAAGGAAATTAATTATATGGCAAGCTAGCGGGCATTGGCACCATTGGCATTCATCCTGTGTTTCTTTATGTGAGTGTAGATCGTTAGTCATATATCCCATGGTGAAAATATAAATTGTTTTTGTGGGAGCAAATTTCCTCCCACGAGAATATTCCGTTGAAAGATTCCCCTTTCTTCTTCGCCGCCTCCTTCTCCCTGCAAAATAAATTGGATAAGAGGACCACACCCGGGGGGTGTTGGCCAAAGGCCCTCCGATGCCTAAGTTAGTTCAATTGATTTAGGGAAAAATCAATAGCTAAATAGGGTACGGAGATATATATGTGTGGTGAAAACCGGGCGGCCGGAGCCTTATGTAAAAGAGAGAGAGAGAGAGAGAGAGAGAGAGAGAGAGAGAGAGAGAGGAGGTGGCTAGGATTTGTGAAGGGAAGAGCTCTCTAGAGTTTTAGTAGAAATTCTGACGTACCTCATCCTTGTGCGTGGCCAAGTATTTATAGGGGGCCTTGACAAGGTTGGTGTGGTTGGTGAGGTAGGTGAGGTTGGTGAGGTTGGTACATTTAGGGATTTGATTAATTAGGGAAT